GCTTAGTCGTGTTATCACGATATTTTTTGTTCTGTAAGCAACTTTCTTTGAATTAACAAGTGCAAGTGTTGTTTCTTGTAGCTTCATGAGGGGCTTAAAACTTGAAAGATTTTTTTAAATTAATTTTTTTCAGCTCAGCTTGTGTCTGCGCAAATATAATCGGCTTCGTTGTCTTATCACGATATTTTTTGTTCTGTAAGCAACTTTCTTTGAATTAACAAGTGCAAGTGTTGTTTATTGTAGCTTCATGAGGGGCTTAAAACTTGAAAGATTTTTTTAAATCAATTTTTTTCAGCTCAACTTGTGTCTGCGCAAATATAATCGGCTTAGTTGTCTTATCACGATATTTTTTGTTCTGTAAGCAACTTTCTTTGAACTTACAAGTACAAGTATCTTTCTTGTAGCTTCGTGAGGGGCTAAAATTTTAAACTATGTGTTTAAAATCAATTTTTTTTGCTCAACTTGTCTGCTCAAAGATTGTCGGCTTAGTTGTCTGATCACGAGGGGCTTCATGAGGGGCTTAAAACTTGAAAGATTTTTTTTTGGCTCAATTTGTGACTGCGCAAATATAATCGGCTTAGTCGTCTTATCACGATATTTTTTGTTCTGTAAGCAACTTTCTTTGAATTAACAAGTGCAAGTGTCGTTTATTGTAGCTTCATGAGGGGCTTAAAACTTGAAAGATTTTTTTAAACCAATTTTTTTCAGCTCAACTTGTGTCTGCGCAAATATAATCGGCTTAGTTGTCTTATCACGATATTTTTTGTTCTGTAAGCAACTTTCTTTGAACTTACAAGTACAAGTATCTTTCTTGTAGCTTCGTGAGGGGCTAAAATTTTAAACTATGTGTTTAAAATCAATTTTTTTTGCTCAACTTGTCTGCTCAAAGATTGTCGGCTTAGTTGTCTGATCACGAGGGGCTTCATGAGGGGCTTAAAACTTGAAAGATTTTTTTTTGGCTCAATTTGTGACTGCGCAAATATAATCGGCTTAGTCGTCTTATCACGATATTTTTTGTTCTGTAAGCAACTTTCTTTGAATTAACAAGTGCAAGTGTTGTTTCTTGTAGCTTCATGAGGGGCTTAAAACTTGAAAGATTTTTTTAAATCACTTTTTTTCAGCTCAACTTGTGTCTGCGCAAATATAATAGGCTTAGTCGTGTTATCACGATATTTTTTGTTCTGTAAGCAACTTTCTTTGAACTTACAAGTACAAGTATCTTTCTTGTAGCTTCGTGAGGGGCTAAAATTTTAAACTATGTGTTTAAAATCAATTTTTTTTTGCTCAACTTGTCTGCTCAAAGATTGTCGGCTTAGTGGTCTGATCACGAGGGGCTTCATGAGGGGCTTAAAACTTGAAAGATTTTTTTTTGGCTCAATTTGTGACTGCGCAAATATAATCGGCTTAGTCGTCTTATCACGATATTTTTTGTTCTGTAAGCAACTTTCCTTGAATTAACAAGTGCAAGTGTTGTTTCTTGTAGCTTCATGAGGGGCTTAAAACTTGAAAGATTTTTTTAAATCACTTTTTTTCAGCTCAACTTGTGTCTGCGCAAATATAATAGGCTTAGTCGTGTTATCACGATATTTTTTGTTCTGTAAGCAACTTTCTTTGAATTAACAAGTGCAAGTGTTGTTTCTTGTAGCTTCATGAGGGGCTTAAAACTTGAAAGATTTTTTTAAATTAATTTTTTTCAGCTCAGCTTGTGTCTGCGCAAATATAATCGGCTTCGTTGTCTTATCACGATATTTTTTGCTCTGTAAGCAACTTTCTTTGAACTTACAAGTACAAGTATCTTTCTTGTAGCTTCGTGAGGGGCTAAAATGTTAAACTATTTGTTTAAAATCGATTTTGTTTGCTCAACTTGTCTGCTCAAAGATTGTCGGCTTAGTTTTCTGATCACGAGGGGCTTCATGAGGGGCTTAAAACTTGAAAGATTTTTATTGGCTCAATTTGTGACTGCGCAAATATAATCGGCTTAGTCGTCTTATCACGATATTTTTTGTTCTGTAAGCAACTTTCTTTGAATTAACAAGTGCAAGTGTTGTTTATTGTAGCTTCATGAGGGGCTTAAAACTTGAAAAAATTTTTTAAATCACTTTTTTTCAGCTCAACTTGTGTCTGCGCAAATATAATAGGCTTAGTCGTGTTATCACGATATTTTTTGTTCTGTAAGCAACTTTCTTTGAATTAACAAGTGCAAGTGTCGTTTATTGTAGCTTCATGAGGGGCTTAAAACTTGAAAGATTTTTTTAAACCAATTTTTTTCAGCTCAACTTGTGTCTGCGCAAATATAATCGGCTTAGTTGTCTTATCACGATATTTTTTGTTCTGTAAGCAACTTTCTTTGAACTTACAAGTACAAGTATCTTTCTTGTAGCTTCGTGAGGGGCTAAAATTTTAAACTATGTGTTTAAAATCAATTTTTTTTGCTCAACTTGTCTGCTCAAAGATTGTCGGCTTAGTTGTCTGATCACGAGGGGCTTCATGAGGGGCTCAAAACTTGAAAGATTTTTTTTTGGCTCAATTTGTGACTGCGCAAATATAATCGGCTTAGTCGTCTTATCACGATATTTTTTGTTCTGTAAGCAACTTTCTTTGAATTAACAAGTGCAAGTGTTGTTTATTGTAGCTTCATGAGGGGCTTAAAACTTGAAAAATTTTTTGAAATCAATTTTTTTCAGCTCAACTTGTGTCTGCGCAAATATAATCGGCTTAGTTGTCTTATCACGATATTTTTTGTTCTGTAAGCAACTTTCTTTGAACTTACAAGTACAAGTATCTTTCTTGTAGCTTCGTGAGGGGCTAAAATTTTAAACTATGTGTTTAAAATCAATTTTTTTTGCTCAACTTGTCTGCTCAAAGATTGTCGGCTTAGTTGTCTGATCACGAGGGGCTTCATGAGGGGCTTAAAACTTGAAAGATTTTTTTTTGGCTCAATTTGTGACTGCGCAAATATAATCGGCTTAGTCGTCTTATCACGATATTTTTTGTTCTGTAAGCAACTTTCCTTGAATTAACAAGTGCAAGTGTTGTTTCTTGTAGCTTCATGAGGGGCTTAAAACTTGAAAGATTTTTTTAAATCACTTTTTTTCAGCTCAACTTGTGTCTGCGCAAATATAATAGGCTTAGTCGTGTTATCACGATATTTTTTGTTCTGTAAGCAACTTTCTTTGAATTAACAAGTGCAAGTGTTGTTTCTTGTAGCTTCATGAGGGGCTTAAAACTTGAAAGATTTTTTTAAATTAATTTTTTTCAGCTCAGCTTGTGTCTGCGCAAATATAATCGGCTTCGTTGTCTTATCACGATATTTTTTGCTCTGTAAGCAACTTTCTTTGAACTTACAAGTACAAGTATCTTTCTTGTAGCTTCGTGAGGGGCTAAAATGTTAAACTATTTGTTTAAAATCGATTTTGTTTGCTCAACTTGTCTGCTCAAAGATTGTCGGCTTAGTTTTCTGATCACGAGGGGCTTCATGAGGGGCTTAAAACTTGAAAGATTTTTATTGGCTCAATTTGTGACTGCGCAAATATAATCGGCTTAGTCGTCTTATCACGATATTTTTTGTTCTGTAAGCAACTTTCCTTGAATTAACAAGTGCAAGTGTTGTTTCTTGTAGCTTCGTGAGGGGCTAAAAATTTAAAAGATGTTTTTAAAATCGATTTTTTTGGCTCAACTTGTGTCTGCTCAAAGATTGTCGGCTTTGTTTTCTTTTGTTGCTAATTTAATGTTTATTTGTCTGCCATCTCTGTCTAAAATGAATTTTTGCTAAGACTGAGGAAAATTTAAATTTTGGCAGACCTTTTTTTTTAAATTTTTTTTCGTTTTTTCGACTTCTGTTTGATATGTGTGTGTTATATCGCAAGTAATGTGAAGCTCCGCTTCGCCTCTGTGTTTAAGTTTTTTTCCTAATTTTTTGTCTAGAAAAAGCGGTTAAATTAATTGAAAAATGCAAGGAGTGAGTGGTAATAATAGCTAAATTTGCAGGTCTGTCTTTATTCAACTCTAATTTTGTGCCACAATTAAGTGGTGTTTTTTTGCCGCAAAGACTTACTTGTGCTCATTTGGTGTCACTTTTGCTTCAATGCCTTGCATCGGCAATTTAAAATCCTCTGTAGATGCTTTATACTGTCTAGTGTTTTTATATTTTCGAACATTCGTGTCGCAGTTGTGAGGGCACGATGCGCCTAATCTTTAGGTCGGAGTTTCCATTCCGGCACAGCAATTTTCGAAAAGAAAATCTTATCTTAAAAAGTATATAAAATATTTACGTATATATAGCGCAGTTGGTATATACTGCATGCATGTATATGGCGCAAAAGTTGAGTCCCAATCAGGGGCGGATCTAGGATTTTCTCGAGGTGGGGGCGGATTTTCAAAAAAAAATTCGAAAATTTAGACGACCTTTTTTTTAGGTCGACCAAATAGATTTCCGCCTAAATCCGCCTCTGGTCCCAATGATAGTCTCTAGGCAGGGTAAGATATTCAGTTTTTGGGCTTTTTTTCACATTTCATTATTTTTTGGATTTATTTTTTGGAACCAGCCGTTACCATTTTTGCTTGTGTTTTCGAAGTGCAGCTTCGTTATAGTGTTGAATTTTTTCGCAATCTCAATTGCGGCTAAAAGGCTGATATCATTTTTTAAGGCAGTCCTTATGCGTTGAATTGAAACAAAACATTTGACGCCAGTGTTCCTTACCACTCCATGAAGTGGTCCAACAAAAAAATGAACACAAATTAAATTTCCCTAACTCTCTTTTCTTCATATCTCAAACATAATCGATCTCTCCAATTTAATCTGACGTTCTACATAGATAACCGTGTAGCTTCAACAAAACAACAACCAAAAAATTTTGTTTGTAGGGAGGGGGATTTCAAAAAAAAGTTTTTTTCTTCAAAATAATTTTCGCTAAATTATTGAGTGGTGTGCACTTCTAGGGTTTCATCGCAATTTAAGCAGTCTTTTTTCGTATACAAGAGTGTGTAACTCATTGGTACAGGGTTGTTTACAGGTAGCAGAGACGGTTCAGCTAAACAGATTGGAGGACAAGAGTCACCAAGTGGGAATGATGGAAGAGGCATTCGCTCAGAAGGAAAGAACTCTTCTCACTCTTAACATGCGGGAGAAGAACAGCCGCGACAGTGAGTTTTTTTCAAACTTGTTTTTCTCTTTTCTAGTTGCGATTCTCGAATTGACTGCTGCAATGAGAGGCTTAGGATCAAAAAGCGTATGAAACGTTGAGGCAAGATAGAATTGTTCGGCTGAGGGAGTTTTGTATGCTCTCGCGCTGGGAGTGTGTTGGTTTCCTTGTGTTCGTGCTTGTTGGGAAGCAATCTTAAGCAAAAAATTTTTGTACGCAGAATAGTATTCTGTTTATTTTGTAGATTTCGCCCCCTATTGTTTGAAATGATTCGCGATCATTTGAGGGGCGTAGTTAATGACATTACTGCCTATACATTTATAAGCTAGGCAACATTAACTTTTTGAGCTACATAAACATCGTGATAATTTTTTTGAGTAAATGCAGTCGCTGCTTACCCGATATAAACCAGTCTCCAGAAGTCGACCCTTTTTTAGGTCGACCGAATTGATTTTCCGAGCTCTCCCAAAGCTCTAAAAATTTGTCGACCTTTTTTTATCTTTTTTTACCTTTGTTTAGGTCGACCTTATTATCGAACTTTTTTGTAGACCTTTTTTTAGGTCGACCAAATTGATCGACCTTCTTTGTCAACCCTTTTTGTTAGGTCGACAAAATTGATTTTCTGAGCTCTCCCAAAGTTCTAAAAAGACCCTATTTTGGCCAAATTTTCTGCGCCGCAGTCAAAATTTTGAAAAAAATAGACCAAACAAGGCGTTTTTAGCTTAGGTAATTTATGGAAAATGTTGACCAAAAAATCAAGTTTTTTGGGTGCGCACTCCCCCCTCAAAATTAGTACAGGCGACTTTTTCGGGGGATGGGGGCGACTTTTTATAAATCGACGAATTTGATTTTCCGAGCTCTCCGAAAGTATTGTTTTGTCAAAAAGTTTGTGTCGCAGGCAAATTTTTGAAAAAAGTCTAAAAATGACATTTCAAGCATTTTTAAAAATTTAAAAAATCACCAAAATATTGCGTTTATTCGGCACGCTGCATATTAAGAGTACGAAAATAAATAAATAAATTTTATCTAACACCAGTTATTTTTGTAATTATTGGGGTATGAAGTTTTCTTAACGCGAATAGTTGAGCCATTTGCCATTTTGTATATCAATAAATCTATAATGTGCAATGTGTATGTGGCTACCGAATAAAGTTTTCCTCAAATTGGTTAATATTTCAAATCCTCGAGACAATTAGAATTAGCTTAAATTTTTTAATTAAATTTTGGTATTCCCCTTTTATAATTGATAAATAAAACGAGAATTGCTAAAAATAGCATGCGCTCCACCTTCTAAGCTAACCCCTACACCCCCCCCCCCCACCCCTATTCATCTCATCTCTTGCCTCAACGAGAATTTTTTTAAAATGTCCGTGGTCGAACAATGTGTGCGTCTTGTGCAGAAACCAGAGCTGTTTTTAGTTGCTTGAAAGCTGAATAAGCAGTTATTGTCGAAATTTTTTTCCAGTTTTTTTTCTCTTTACAGTGGATTTGCATGAAATTCCCAATTTTCTCATTCTACCCGGACGATTTCAATCAGTGCCATAATCAATCTTCTGGAGACCAACAATGTTATAATCAGAAATGTTCGACCAGAAATAGTTGAGAAGTGTTTCAGAACTGCTGCAGTTTGTGTCTGACACAGGTCTCTTTTCATTCGCCACCCATGGCAGCTCTAAAAGACTCTACGCTCCAGTTCAGATGGTGAAGGAGAAGAGTATCAATGAAGCCAATGAGATCTGCTCTTTTGTGGGGGCGGAACTGGCAGAACCGACTAGCTTCCAGGAGTACCAGGTTAAACAATGACTACAAATATTTCATTACTTGGATCAACCGAACAATCCCCCTCCCCTAGGTGACCTACCGTAGAATGCCCTCCTCAAGCATGTATAAAATCTTAAAATTGTTTTGTATAAAGTATGCATTTCATTAAATCGCGCAAATAAAATTGGTTTCTACGTTTTTGTATGCGGGATTGCATTTGTATTGTGGGTCATTGCTTAGAATAATGTTTCAATTTTTTTTCCAGTAAAACGCTTAATTCTGAATAAGTCTTGCCTATTCTTAAAGTTAGTTCATGGAAATCCTTATTTTCTCCCACCTAATCATTCACAAGCAAAGGCCTATCACGAATTCTTCAGTTTACTCTATCATCAAAGACCTCCAATATCTAATTATAGTCCCACGAAAATCACGATGCGGGGACTGTTTTTTAAGTAACTAGGTCGGGGCTATGATGAATTGTTATTTCAATTCAACATTAATGTTATTTATACAGATAATACTTAAGTTAATGCGCCAATCTGTGAGTCAGCACCTGTGATCAGTTAGAAGTAATCATTTTGCAGCTGATTAAACAGGCAACTTTCATCATCAAATATTGTTGTTGTTGTTGTAGTAGCCTCGCTGACTCCATTGTGTTGGTTTTTCTCGCTCTTGTATGGTGATTTCGTCTTGTCCATAGTCCAGTGTTATTGGCCCCGACGGGATAGGTAGGGCATGCCACATCTGAAGATTACTTGAACGTCGTTTTTATACTGGAATCGTCTGAATGGTTCTCGAGTTTTGTTGTGCAATGTGAGCTGAAAGAATTCAGATACACGCTGGGGGTCAGTCCATAAACTGAGGATGTTCATATCTGTCGGTCTGCCAGGAAAGTTGAATAAATGGTGTACATGGGGATAGTGTGTCCAACTGAATTCTTTTCGTCTGTTTTTCAGTTTCAGTTAAAGTTACAGTTCTGATTTTCCGGGTCTTTCCATTTCAGTTACAGTTTTTACAGTTTTTTTCTTTCAGTTTCAGTTTCAGTTGAAGCTTTCAGTTGGAAAAATTGAATCAAACAACATGTTGAATTTGAAAACAAAACTTACAAAGAAACAAAAACTTAACGAGTTCAATCAAAAGTCAAGTCATTCAATCAAGTCACGGTTACTCGCAATCATTGTTCTTTCACGGAGCCCAGTGTTCGACAGCATTCTAAGTCTTCCTTCCGCTTGGATGGCTGCTCCCGAAAAAAGTCTTTCAACTCCGACTCCAGCGCCGCTGAAACACAGGTAGTCGCTTGCTGGGAGCGGAGTAGTTGCTGATCTTGAGCTGCTCCCTGCAATGTTGACGAAGCTCTCCATGGTTGTGACTTTCCGTGATTGAGAGTCTGTTTTCGCCTTCTTTTCTGCTGTTTCTTTGACTTCGAGTTGCTTTTGCCATTCAGGGTGCTTCTTTTTGAGGTGCAGTTTGAGGTTGGTAGGACCATGCTTCACCAGACTTGTGAACTCGCAGTCGTCGTCCGTACATCTGTACGCTGTCTTGCTCTCATCTATAACAAAGTATTGATGCACCGGGTTGCTACGCTTGCGACCAGTTGTTGTTGCTGCCATCTCGATCTGGAAACGTATGAATTGCGTCAAGTATTTATACTAAGCTATCTGCAACTGAAACTGCAACTGTAACTGTAACTGAAACTCAAGTACGTCCGTACATCTTGAGTCCGGACACACTACATGGGGACCATGATTACAAATGTTGCATATATTTGGCAATTTTGGGTCAATCCTGTTCAAGTAATTATTCAGGATAGTTGAATAGCCATAAAGGAGCTGTGCAAGCGTGCAACTAGCCTCACGTGTGAGTTTCTTTTCTTCTTCGAAGTTCACTCTAGGACTGGTTATACCCAGAAGTTTACTCTGGTGGCTTTCTGTATAATCTTCCACAGTTTTAGTATGCAGTTCTTATATACCCGTTTTGTATTGATTGACTTTGAGAACTGAGTCAGTTGGCTAGAGGTGAGCAACTTCTCTTTCATATTTAGATATCAATGTTGCTTTTAGGATGCGTCTGCTTTCTGATTCTAAAATTCTATAGCCTGCACGTCCCGGAAGATGGCTTCCGAGGTAGAAATGTTTGGCTACCATTTCATTATGCTCTCGAACAGAGAAAAATTTCAGTTTGTCTGTGTAAATGATCAATATTCCTTATTTAACACAGCCAGTTATGGTTCTAAGTGCCTTCTTTTGTACGACTTGAAGTTTTGACCAGTTGGTGTTGCTTAAACTTAAGGACCAGATGGGTGCGGCGTAGTTCATTACGCTACGGCTGATTGCTTTGTTACTGATGGCCAATGTTTCTTTCTGACCACCCCATTTGGTACCAGCAAGTTTTTAAAGGATTTTATTTCTGGCCTGAACTCGTGTGCAAACATTATTTGTGTTTGTTAACTTGTCATAGGAAACATCTAGGATGTTTGGGTTCTTTGATATTTTGAGTCCATACCTTCCAATATCAACTTTCATAGCTTACTTTAGGTAGACCACGAAGTAGAAAGAGTTCCCATTGATTTGTCTTCAAGGGACAGTTTAAGATGCCTGTTTTTGAGCCATTGATTGAATTGATTGAGGTAGAAGTTCATAGAAGTGTGCAGCTCAGTCGGGTGTGGACCTGATAATAGAATGGTTATATCATCAGCAAAAGTGACAAGCTCAACATTTTCACGTGGTTTAGGGATAGAGCTTTTATATAAGTTGAAGAGTGTAGGCGAGAGAACACCACCTTTTGCGTCCCCAAATTCAACATATGTGAAACAGTCTTATAGGTAAGGGAAAAAGCCATCGTTTTGTTTGGTTTGTTAATTTTGAATTATATATGTCAGCAAGAAGAACTTTATGGTTAACTGTGTCAAATGCTGCGGTGAGGTCCAGGGCTGTCATAAAGGTTCGTTGAAATGGTTTTCCATGGTTAAATCTCTCAGTTATGTGATGGTTTAAACAATTTAAAGCAGTAACGTTAGATCTGGCGCTCCTGAAACCGGGTTGATGGTCTGCTAATTGTATGTTGTGATGAAGTTTAGGTAAAAGAATCTTTTCAATCAGTTTGGCCATTGGTGATAAAAAGGCAACATGGTGGAAGCGTTTTGATTGCTCTAGATCTTTACTTGGTTTGGGGAGTGGGATTATTCGTGCTATTTTCCACATATGTGGTATTAATGCTGTATTGATTGAGATGGTGATAATCTGTGAGAGAATTTCGATGCCTTTTGCGCCACGATAGTGTAAATGGATGGGCGCAATTTGATCTAGCTATAAGGCTTTGCTTCTTGGTTTCTTTAATAGCTTCTTGTACCATCAGTGGAGAGATGGTAATTTTGCTGAAATCTAGTTTTCTGAGATGACGCATAGTTTTCCATTTTTGTCAGGCTTTTCTGGATGGGGTTTGAATTGTTCGTTAAAACGATTTGCGGATAGTTTAGCGTCATAAAATGGTGTGTCGTTGAATCTGACGGGTTTGTTGGGTCTTTTGGCGGGAGATTGTCCAAATAGAGATTTAATGTTGGACCAACGTTTGCTTTATGGACCAACATTTGCAACGTTGACTTTATGATTGCATTTGTTAAGAAAAGTTATCCATTTTTTCTTTTGTTTTTTGGATAATGTTGTTTATTTTCTTATTTAAAGATCTTATGTTAGGGTGATTTGGGCGTTCTTTTTGGAAATAGTCACGTTCTTTCATTGTTTTTATGGCCTCAGAGGGCATATTTGGTATAACTTACGGAATGCGTCCTTGAAGAATGTGATGGGAGGCAGCTTTGATTATGATATTTCTGTAAACACTTCATCCCTTGAAGCGCAGCTGGTCTCTTCTGTTTTTCAGAACGTTGCCTCTGTTTCTTCTCTGAATTTCACCCAATCGGCTTTAACGGAGTTGATGAATTTTGATTTGGGAGATTCTACTACATCTGTATCGCAAGTCAGCGTAATTGTGATTGGAATATGAAGCTTTGTGCTCCAGTTTGAGCTCTTTGCTAGGTTTGGTGAAATGATACTAATATCGGACGAGCTAGTACATGAATCTGTTATGCGACTTGATTCATACTCGTTCAAAACAATTAAATTAGATTAATCGATTTCATTGGCTAATTTTTTACCCCTAGTGTCGTTAGTTAGCTTTTATTACTATAAATTACTGTGTGCGTTTACATCTCTGCCACGCTCAATCGGGCGATTGTTGGTCACTTTCTGGTATCTGGGCGGAAATTTAAAAGCTGAATTAAGCAGCGTCTCCTGTATTGCAGCAAATTTTATGTTGTTAGTATCCATGTATTATATATTACTATCTGCTTTGTTGCTTAGGCCATTGGCGTTAAGTTAAGTTGGAGAGTCTTGAAATTGAGTTAACATGTCGAGGTAGAAATGTTTGGCTACCATTTCATTATGCTCTCGAACAGAGAAAAATTTCAGTTTCTCTGTGTAAATGATCAATATTCCTTATTTAACACAGCCAGTTATGGTTCTAAGTGCCTTCTTTTGTACGACTTGAAGTTTTGACCAGTTGGTGTTGCTTAAACTTAAGGACCAGATGGGTGCGGCGTAGTTCATTACGCTACGGCTGATTGCTTTGTTACTGATGGCCAATGTTTCTTTCTGACCACCCCAATTGGTACCAGCAAGTTTTTAAAGGATTTTATTTCTGGCCTGAACTCGTGTGCAAATATTATTTGTGTTTGTTAACATGTCATAGGAAACACCTAGGATGTTTGGGTTCTTTGATATTTTGAGTCCATACCTTCCAATATCAACTTTCATAGCTTACTTTAGGTAGACCACGAAGTAGAAAGAGTTCCCATTGATTTGTCTTCAAGGGACAGTTTAAGATGCCTGTTTTTGAGCCATTGATTGAATTGATTGAGGTAGAAGTTCATAGAAGTGTGCAGCTCAGTCGGGTGTGGACCTGATAATAGAATGGTTATATCATCAGCAAAAGTGACAAGCTCAACATTTTCACGTGGTTTAGGGATAGAGCTTTTATATAAGTTGAAGAGTGTAGGCGAGAGAACACCACCTTTTGCGTCCCCAAATTCAACATATGTGGAACAGTCTTATAGGTAAGGGAAAAAGCCATCGTTTTGTTTGGTTTGTTAATTTTGAATTATATATGTCAGCAAGAAGAACTTTATGGTTAACTGTGTCAAATGCTGCGGTGAGGTCCAGGGCTGTCATAAGGGTTCGTTGAAATGGTTTTCCATGGTTAAATCTCTCAGTTATGTGATGGTTTAAACAATTTAAAGCAGTAACGTTAGATCTGGCGCTCCTGAAACCGGGTTGATGGTCTGCTAATTGTATGTTGTGATGAAGTTTAGGTAAAAGAATCTTTTCAATCAGTTTGGCCATTGGCGATAAAAAGGCAACATGGTGGAAGCGTTTTGATTGCTCTAGATCTTTACTTGGTTTGGGGAGTGGGATTATTCGTGCTATTTTCCACATATGTGGTATTAATGCTGTATTGATTGAGATGGTGATAATCTGTGAGAGAATTTCGATGCCTTTTGCGCCACGATAGTGTAAATGGATGGGCGCAATTTGATCTAGCTATAAGGCTTTGCTTCTTGGTTTCTTTAATAGCTTCTTGTACCATCAGTGGAGAGATGGTAATTTTGCTGAAATCTAGTTTTCTGAGATGACGCATAGTTTTCCATTTTTGTCAGGCTTTTCTGGATGGGGTTTGAATTGTTCGTTAAAACGATTTGCGGATAGTTTAGCGTCATAAAATGGTGTGTCGTTGAATCTGACGGGTTTGTTGGGTCTTTTGGCGGGAGATTGTCCAAATAGAGATTTAATGTTGGACCAACGTTTGCTTTATGGACCAACATTTGCAACGTTGACTTTATGATTGCATTTGTTAAGAAAAGTTATCCATTTTTTCTTTTGTTTTTTGGATAATGTTGTTTATTTTCTTATTTAAAGATCTTATGTTAGGGTGATTTGGGCGTTCTTTTTGGAAATAGTCACGTTCTTTCATTGTTTTTATGGCCTCAGAGGGCATATTTGGTATAACTTACGGAATGCGTCCTTGAAGAATGTGATGGGAGGCAGCTTTGATTATGATATTTCTGTAAACACTTCATCCCTTGAAGCGCAGCTGGTCTCTTCTGTTTTTCAGAACGTTGCCTCTGTTTCTTCTCTGAATTTCACCCAATCGGCTTTAACGGAGTTGATGAATTTTGATTTGGGAGATTCTACTACATCTGTATCGCAAGTCAGCGTAATTGTGATTGGAATATGAAGCTTTGTGCTCCAGTTTGAGCTCTTTGCTAGGTTTGGTGAAATGATACTAATATCGGACGAGCTAGTACATGAATCTGTTATGCGACTTGATTCATACTCGTTCAAAACAATTAAATTAGATTAATCGATTTCATTGGCTAATTTTTTACCCCTAGTGTCGTTAGTTAGCTTTTATTACTATAAATTACTGTGTGCGTTTACATCTCTGCCACGCTCAATCGGGCGATTGTTGGTCACTTTCTGGTATCTGGGCGGAAATTTAAAAGCTGAATTAAGCAGCGTCTCCTGTATTGCAGCAAATTTTATGTTGTTAGTATCCATGTATTATATAATACTATCTGCTTTGTTGCTTAGGCCATTGGCGTTAAGTTAAGTTGGAGAGTCTTGAAATTGAGTTAACATGTCGAGGTAGAAATGTTTGGCTACCATTTCATTATGCTCTCGAACAGAGAAAAATTTCAGTTTCTCTGTGTAAATGATCAATATTCCTTATTTAACACAGCCAGTTATGGTTCTAAGTGCCTTCTTTTGTACGACTTGAAGTTTTGACCAGTTGGTGTTGCTTAAACTTAAGGACCAGATGGGTGCGGCGTAGTTCATTACGCTACGGCTGATTGCTTTGTTACTGATGGCCAATGTTTCTTTCTGACCACCCCAATTGGTACCAGCAAGTTTTTAAAGGATTTTATTTCTGGCCTGAACTCGTGTGCAAATATTATTTGTGTTTGTTAACATGTCATAGGAAACACCTAGGATGTTTGGGTTCTTTGATATTTTGAGTCCATACCTTCCAATATCAACTTTCATAGCTTACTTTAGGTAGACCACGAAGTAGAAAGAGTTCCCATTGATTTGTCTTCAAGGGACAGTTTAAGATGCCTGTTTTTCAGCCATTGATTGAATTGATTGAGGTAGAAGTTCATAGAAGTGTGCAGCTCAGTCGGGTGTGGACCTGATAATAGAATGGTTATATCATCAGCAAAAGTGACAAGCTCAACATTTTCACGTGGTTTAGGGATAGAGCTTTTATATAAGTTGAAGAGTGTAGGCGAGAGAACACCACCTTTTGCGTCCCCAAATTCAACATATGTGGAACAGTCTTATAGGTAAGGGAAAAAGTCATCGTTTTGTTTGGTTTGTTAATTTTGAATTATATATGTCAGCAAGAAGAACTTTATGGTTAACTGTGTCAAATGCTGCGGTGAGGTCCAGGGCTGTCATAAGGGTTCGTTGAAATGGTTTTCCATGGTTAAATCTCTCAGTTATGTGATGGTTTAAACAATTTAAAGCAGTAACGTTAGATCTGGCGCTCCTGAAACCGGGTTGATGGTCTGCTAATTGTATGTTGTGATGAAGTTTAGGTAAAAGAATCTTTTCAATCAGTTTGGCCATTGGCGATAAAAAGGCAACATGGTGGAAGCGTTTTGATTGCTCTAGATCTTTACTTGGTTTGGGGAGTGGGATTATTCGTGCTATTTTCCACATATGTGGTATTAATGCTGTATTGATTGAGATGGTGATAATCTGTGAGAGAATTTCGATGCCTTTTGCGCCACGATAGTGTAAATGGATGGGCGCAATTTGATCTAGCTATAAGGCTTTGCTTCTTGGTTTCTTTAATAGCTTCTTGTACCATCAGTGGAGAGATGGTAATTTTGCTGAAATCTAGTTTTCTGAGATGACGCATAGTTTTCCATTTTTGTCAGGCTTTTCTGGATGGGGTTTGAATTGTTCGTTAAAACGATTTGCGGATAGTTTAGCGTCATAAAATGGTGTGTCGTTGAATCTGACGGGTTTGTTGGGTCTTTTGGCGGGAGATTGTCCAAATAGAGATTTAATGTTGGACCAACGTTTGCTTTATGGACCAACATTTGCAACGTTGACTTTATGATTGCATTTGTTAAGAAAAGTTATCCATTTTTTCTTTTGTTTTTTGGATAATGTTGTTTATTTTCTTATTTAAAGATCTTATGTTAGGGTGAGTTGGGCGTTCTTTTTGGAAATAGTCACGTTCTTTCATTGTTTTTATGGCCTCAGAGGGCATATTTGGTATAACTTACGGAATGCGTCCTTGAAGAATGTGATGGGAGGCAGCTTTGATTATGATATTTCTGCAAACGCTTCATCCCTTGAAGCGCAGCTGGTCGCTTCTGTTTTTCAGAACGTTTCCCCCGTTTCTTCTCTGAATTTCACCCAATCGGCTTTAACGGAGTTAATGAATTTTGGTTTGGGAGATTCTACTATATCTATGTCGCAAGTCAGCGTAATTGTGATTGGAATATGATCTGAGCATAGACAAAGCTTTGTGCTCAAGTTTGAACTCTTTGCTAGGTTTGGTGAAATGAGACTAATATCGGACGAGCTAGTACATGAATCTGTAATGCGACTTGATTCATCCTCGTTCAAAACAACTAAATTAGATTAATCGATTTCATTGGCTAACTTTTTACCCCTAGTGTCGTTAGTTAGCTTTTATTACTATAAATTACTGTGTGCGTTTACATCTCTGCCACGCTCAATTGTTGCCACGCTCAATCGGGCGATTGTTGGTCACTATCTGGTATCCGGGCGGAAATTTAAAAGTTGAATTGAGCAGCGTGTCCATTATTGCAGCAAATTTTATGTTGTTAGTATCCATGTATTATATAATACTATCTGCTTTGTTGCTTAGGCCATTGGCGTTAAGTTGGAGAGTTTTGAAATTGGTAGTATCAATTTCATTTGAAATTTGCGGATCCACCAAACACTATACTGATTATTTCGGAAATTTTGGCGGCAGACAGTACAAGTTGGGGTCTAGAGCCTGGGTTTATTTCAATGCCTGCTATGATAAGCAGCATGAGCAGGGCTGTCAGTAGTCCAGCCGTAGGGGTAGGAGACAGATTGGCATCCGAGTAGGAGTCATTCTGGATCCGAGTCAAAAACACGTTGTCGTCTTCGAGTCTTCAGGAAGTTGTTGGATGGACCTTGCTTCCGACCCAGATGGACCGGAAATGGTTCTGCCACTGAAAGGCGTCCATCCTCCAGAACCTTTTTTATCAAATCAGTTGAAAGGGCCGACGCGTATGTCTAACTCGACGTTTAAAGCTATGGCTAGCATTTTGACGTGAAATATAATTTTAGGCTATCGCTATGGCTAGCAGAGAAAAAGGAAAGTGTTTTCTGGGTCCTACTCGCAATCACGACGGAGTCACTTGGGATACTCAGGAAGGTACGCATTATTTCACGCCGGTAGTTGGGGATAAATTGTCTCAACTTGTAGTCCATTTGTACTAATTTAATTTTATTTTTTTAAGTATAAGTTACTGCTAATCATATTTTAGAACAATTTTTCTATCTCATTTTTTCTGTCTCATTATCTTATATGAGAAGTTTTGAATTAAGTACAAAAATCAAACGAACATAAAACAGTGTTATGTAAGTCTTCAAAAGGTCTGTTGAATTTAATAACAAGTAAATGAAAATTCGAAAATTCCAGCTCATTTGAAAATTCCAGCTTATTTGGATTGCAGCTTAAAAACAGACAAGAAAACTGCTCGATTGCTGTACATGTAGCTTTCAATTTTAGACCCAGTACTTTTTTAGATGGCTATTTTTTCAACCCCCCTTGCCTTCCTGTTAAGTAGTGGTACCATTGAACATATTATTTACTAGGTAGCGGAAAAAGTAATTACATTTTTATACTTTTTTGCTCATAAATTAGTTTAAAAACGTAGAAAGCATACAACATTGCCCTAATTTGCCATTAAAAAAATTTAAAATTTGAAAGGATCCATAAATTGAATTTTGCGATGAAAATCTCTTGCCAGGTTTCGTTGAATTCCAAACACATCTGTGCTGTTGCTTAAAATTGTTTAAAAATATCTTTGGGTATTTCATAGAAAGTCTTGTTGATTTACGGGTGCCCGGCAAATAAGACGAGATTTGTTAAGACGACAACCGCTTTTGGTGGGACTTTACGACGAAGCAACACACAAATTCTCAAATTGTTTTTTTTTCTGCTGAATATAAGTCGCTTAGTTTCGAAGTTCAATTTGCATGTTTTAATTCTCATTTGTCTTGTCTTATTGTCTTGTCGTCTTTTTTAACTTGCACCTTATGTAAATTCTGTGTGATAGAGTTACAGACAATAAATCACTTTGTTTTTGTGTAGGAAATACGATAGTTCTGGATCCCTACTGGGTCAAAGGTCAGCCGTCCAAATCAGTGGCGTTTTCCTGCGTGTACATTTCAAGCACGTACAACCAGACAGGTTTGACGGCAACACAATGCAATGGGGATGACCCTGGGATCACGTGTTTCGTGTGTCAACGACCCCAAAAAGTGTCACTGAAAAACCCCAAAATCATCCTCTCAGGTGCTTAATTATCGGGTAGACGAAATATCGGTATCGATAAAATATAACTAATTGAGAGTATCGATCAGTGAATTGATCTAAAATGTTTTCTATTCCGCTTACTTTACTTGTACAGTTTGATTTATTTTGTTTGACATGAAATCAGTTAATTCTTTAGTTTATGTGATGTTAAAATAATCCATTTCTTGTTATTTTTGATAGACTGGTTTGAGAAATGTGAACTTGTAATAATTTGTTTCCAAATTATCATCTTGTTAATTGATATTCATTTTCATTTAAAGACTTTTTTTGCATTAGGGTAGTTAACACAGGTCAAAAATAGCAGTCACTAATTATTCTGTTTAGCTGTTTTTTGCTTGATTGATTGTGTTAAGATTACCTTACAAATGAAAAGAAATTATCATAATAAATAAATTATAATAAATTGTCTTTAGACTAGTATACCAGTAATGATTGTTATAAAACCGCATTTACAACCATTAAGCTTTAGCTTGAGAGATAGTCATGAGACCCTCTGGTCCCTTTTCAGACTTCTTTGAGCGGAAAAATTAAATTGTTCTCTCATTTACCTAACCCGTTTTTCAGCGGTATCGACCAAAACGCAAAAAAACTCAAAAAGGTACGAGCTTTTTTGAAAAAGAAGAAAAAAAAGAGGAAATATGAAAACTAAACTGTTGAGATGTGATATTAAATTTCCTAGCTGTAGATTATGTTCAATAGATCTTCATTGCGCAAAGTGAAGTTATCTTAAAAAAGGTAGTTTTTCTGTTTGAAGCTGTTTTGGACAAATTGGCTCATCCCAATTTATTCCATAGTTAAAGACGCAGCTGAGCACTTTTTAAATCTTATATGCAGTGAGTTTTTGTTTTGTAATTTGCACCAGTCAATAAATTTTTCGAGTTTCTTTTTTATTTCGACATTTTACATAGGTTTTCTTCGGTTACTTTGTTGCATAAAGTATCTACTGGGCTTTTTGATATTGTTTTTAAAGTTTCATCAATATGAAGTTCAGCAGATGTAAACATTTTGTTTCCCGGGCTGAATCCCATTCATATGTTACAGAAAAAGATTATGCGTCTTATATTTTACATAAAAAATATGATAGTATTACCGACCATTTCTACTCAAGTGGAATATTAACCGTTCACGAATTATATGTTCACGAACTTCTGAAATTTTGTCTACTATCGGTAAATGAAATGCATTCAACTGTTTTTCTAAATTCCTTTTTCACCAAAACTGAATACATGCGCAAAACGAGAAAATCTGAATTTCTTTTTTTTTCAGAACCTTTTTGCAAAACAAATACCAGATCAATTTCACTGAAAAGAAGGGGCTCGAGACTTTTAAATTTATTAAGTGAAAATAAAATGCTACCAGAAAATCTTTGTTCCTTGAAAAAGAATGAAATTAAAAAATTTCTGAAAAATTTCAAAACGAATTTTCTGATAGGCAACATAGACCTCGTTAAGCACATTTTTAGTTGTAAATAAAAGTATGACTTTGTTGTGATGCAATCTGAATTGGAGCCTGCACATTCTTTCAGAAGAAAGGGCGTTGTCCTAGACAACATAGTTTTATACTATTCAAGTCCTAGTAGTATGGGAATTGTGCTGGTGAAGTGAATTTTTGCATCGCCTAGAACATAGTCATATTTTTGAAAAAGTTAGAAAATGTAGCCCACAAAGGTTCTACTATGCCCAATTTACTAGCGAATTTTAAGGAGGAAAAAAATTGCCTGGTATAAGTTTTCGGTGAAAAACTTTGAAATTTGTAAACAAATCAGTTATATATTTTTTCATCCCTTATCTTCTGAATAATACCTGTACCATCCTTGCCGTTAAATTTAAATTATTTGTGCAATGCGGATGTTCTATGTTCTATGTCCATTCAAGAGACTATGTTTCTGATTTTGATAAAGTTTATAATGATTATTTTAATTTTCAATGTTGTTTGCTCTGCTGGAAAAGTAATTTCTCTAACATATGATTTGAAAAAAATATATATATATATACTCATTTGAATGGTTTAGAGTTCTGGCGACCTCGGGTTCACTCTCAGTGGGTAAAGGAACTTTGAACCAGCTTATACGACTTCTATCAGATTAATGCAATAATTGTTCTATTTTTCTTGCAGACAATTAGATATATAAAAATATTTGTACTATTTGCAGTTTGAAATGATGCTTGAATAGGGTAGGCGCTCAGTGGGAATTTATTTTTCCCTTTGCCTGTCCTCTCCTTATAATGTGAAAGCCATTGTTTATTTATTTGTTTAAATTATTTATTTGTTTAAATTGTAAAAGAAATAGCTATTAAACGATGGTCTGCTATATTATTATTTGGAGAAATAAATTCTTCTTCTTATGTTGAAAGGATTTTCATTTTGATGTGAATAGAGCCGAAAACAAGACTGCTTGTACCAAGTTTTCAGTTCTGATGCCAGCAGCTCCGAATGCTGTTTCAACATAATTGGTTTTTCATTTAATTTTATATGCCTAAAACTGATTTTTTTCAAAATCAAGCTCATCAGAGTTTCGCCAAGAGATATCTTGATTTGCTATCGGGAAAAGGTTCTTCATTTGATAAACGAGCTTGCGAGGGTAGTCTTATACGGACAGGTCATTTTTCAACTTTACCCGGATAGTACTGTGCAAATCTTATCAATGTCATAATTTTTGAGTGAAATAATTATCCTGTTCTGAATAGAATTTGACGCCCGGAGCTCCAGCGCGAGATTGAAAGTTCTTAAACATGAGAATCAACACGTAAACGCGACTTGTTTGAGCGCTATAATTTAATCATAATTTTAAATACTGAAATAATCTTAATAAACTCAAGTTGTGTTCGTCCGTACCTAGAATTAATTATGACATTGACTTTCTTTAAAGAAAATGTTCAGAATTCTCTTGGCGCTTTTGTTCCGACTTTCGAAGAAAATTGAATATTTATGCTTGGTGTGGTTTTTTTATTCAGTCAATTTTCGGCGATCGAAATCATAATTAGTACCAAAAAAAATCCATGTACCATTGAAGATTTCGACTACCTGAAATCAAATTTAAAAAGATATTTTATCACCGATCATTTTTTGAGATTTTGAAAATTGCCAATTTGTCCGTGCTTTGGACCAATTTATGAGCGCTTTGTAGATTTTATCCATACTCCAGAAAGCGTCACGCGAAATATTTATGCGTGGCGAACTACGCAGCACAACAAAATCGTTTCAAATTAAATTAACGCTAGCTAATCGGTTGTATTAATTTCGTTTTTTTAGTCAATCAAAAATTACGCCATAATTCCTCTATCGATCACTGATCTACTCATATCAATGTGAGGATTTTACATAAATCAACAAATTAGAAAATGTTTTTTCTCCGAAAACTTATATAAATTATTTTACTTTTGTTTTATTTACAAAAAAGGTAGTTTTTACTAAATTAAACACCATTTTTCATTCGAAAGTTTTCTTTAAACGTTTTAAGCATTTTTTGCAGATTTTTTTCATTTCGACTTTTCAAGAAAACTGAATATTTACGCTTGGTGTGGTTTCAGTCAATCTTCGGCAATCGAAATAATAAATTATAACAAAAAATTTCTTTGCCCCATTGAAGATATCGACTCTCTGAAATCAAATTTTAAAAAATTATTTTATCTCCGATCATTTTTTGCAAAGTTTTGGGAGTTTGAAAGTTGCCAATTTGATCATGCTCTTGACTAATTAAAGCGCGCTTTGTAGATTTTATTCGTACTCTGAAAGCGTTATGCGAATAATTTATGCGTGGTGAATTATCGCGCACAACAAAATCGTTCCAAAATAAATTTAGGGTAGGTAATCGGTCGTATTAATTTCGTACGACTCAATTTTTTACTTTCGATCTGATATTGCCCAAATTTTACAGTTTTTTTTGAAAACTTTTATTTCCCAAAAACTATTCGATATAGATTAAGGGGCAGTCGGAACATTCAGGGCTTCGCCTTGCATACGAGCAGTCTTGTTCTTTCTTCAAGTTTGTTTGGCTAGGTAAGAGGCTCTCGCACATCTAATAATACCAGTGATCGACCATGTCAGTCGTAGTTTAGGCGTAATTTTTGATTGACTAAAAAAGCCAAAAACGATCGTTTTTTGTGCTAACATTTTAAACCCCAATTTCGGAAAACAAATTGCGCCATTTTCATTCTGCTGAAATTCTTAAAATGTTTTCTCTTCATCATTTTTGACATAACCTCGACCCAATTTGAAGAAAAAGCGTTTTAAATTTCAATGCCTTTAGCCCGAATAGTTTATTTCAGCACTGTACAGTGCTGATTTAGATTATACGGAGAAAACTAATGAAACGTGAAAATTAAAACGCGCATTATGGGATTTTTGGTAGTCAAATAAAAATTACTCCAAATCTATTTGTTATTTTTAAATAGATGAAGCAATTTTTCTCAAAGTTTTAACAGTTAAATTGGTGCAATTTGTTTTGCAAAAGTTGGGCACAAAAACGATCTTTTTGGCTTTTTAGTCAATCGCAAACTACTCAAAACCTATTTGTTTAGTTATTGATTAACCTATTTGTTCATTTCGAGCCTGATTAAAGCTGGATAAAAATCATCGCTATTGAATGATTTCATCAAATTGGACCTCGAGGAATAGATATCTTCGAAATATAAAAAAAAATTAAGAAGTCTTATTGAAAATTATCATCACACGGCGCAATTAAAAAATACAAGTAAACCAAAAACGTAAAAATCTCCAAAAATGCTAAAAACAAAGGCTCAGAATATTTACTGCACGACAAAAAATTTCAAAAAATTAAAATTTTTTGTTGACTCAAAAAGTGAAAAAAACTCTTCATCAAATGAGTTTTCCTCAAACAGAAACATCAATGTATTTTGAATTTGGTTAAGTAAGATGGTAATCATCAAGCAGGAAAATCCAACTAAATTTGCAGTTTTAATTACCTCCACCTTTGCCGCTGAAAAAAATACACTAAAGGACAAAATTAACCGCAAATTTTACGTTTTCACTATCGAAAATGTCTGTTTTCAAGGATAATTTTCGACATAATTTTTTAAGAATTGAAACAAAATTTTTATATAGACGGAAAGCAATTCATCAGAACTACCCTCTATGAACTAATTCATTAGACTTAACTTTCAAATACTTAACTAATTTTCCGGGCATGTAAATGCCTGTTTTGCCATTTGCACTAATTTAATCAAAATACG